CCCCACCTGCTCTGCCCCAGCCGTCCCCAAGAGCAGCTGGGGTGCTGCCGGGTTGGTCCCGTAGCCCCGAGGGGCAGCGCTATGAGACCAACCAACCCAGCAGCCAGCTGCTCTGCTCCCGGCTTCCCCAATTCAGCTGCTGGTCAGTTTCAGCAGCAGCTGAATGGGGGAAGCCTGTCCAGCTGCCCCAGCACTTCTGGGTTCCTGAAGGTGCCGGACCATCAGGAGTCCCGGAGCATTGATGCTGGACTAATGGAGTTTTACTCTCATTACTGGTACCAAGTGATTGACTAGTATGTTCGAATACACTCAACACATATCAATAAGAAATGTCTTGTGTACAACTTACTTCCCATTGTGGAAAAAGCTCTTGATACTATCTACATTTTTGTTAGTCTCTAAGATGCTGCAGGACCATTTGTTGTTTAAGTTTTCCCATTTATTACAAAATAACTTAAATGGAAAAATTAGAAAGACATTTATAGCAGCAGATTTTTTTGGCACTGTAAGCACTTCCTATGCAACATCTTAAAAGCCATTGTGAAAAGAATATTTTTATGGGAAAGATGAACAAAAGCACTAATGCACTACTTTTTCAATAAAGACTGTGTCTAAGTTATGCCACTATGCAGATGTGAATTGCAGTGTGCACCAAAATGCTCTGCTATATATCTGTGTGAATGCTCCGAGCACAAGCTCAAAGGTATCCAGCTCTTGTTACTGAAGCCCTCTTCAAGCAAGACTTCGTAAAAGCAAAGTTAGGTCAGTTTTAGTTCATAAGAGCAGCATCCACACAAGATGCAATTTCAGTTAGTTAAAATTCAGCAATTTGGCATATGTGCTGCAATTCACATTCCCGTAGCATGAATTGCAGGACAGTATAGATAAACCCACAATAAAGAACAAGGCCACTGATTTAATGTAAGCTACTAATCATTAGAAAAGCATTTATCCTGAAGTAGGAATAGAGCTGGTTTACATTAAACAATAGAACTAAAACCTTTACCAGACTGTGTCACATTAAATCTTCACTCAAGATTGAAACCTTAGGCAGAACAGCAAAATCAAACTTATTTTGTCATATCAGTATAGTCCACTGCTGCCCACATTGCTCAGTCACATTCTTAACGATCCATTATATTTTCACAAGCTAGGCTAAAATTGATGACAGTAACTTCAACTGTTAATCCACAATATGCAAGACTGTAATGAAACTGTTAAAAATTAAAGTAAGTGAACATGCAGCCAAACAAAAAAATCCTATTTTTTATTTAAAATAAAATTCTCAAAATATTTGTATAATTTAACAGAACAAACAAAATGTGCATAAGCTGATGGTCCAGTCACTTTGCCTACTTAGACTTAGAGATGACAAGGTAACACAAATCCACCTTAGAACTGAGCTATGTGGTCAGCTGGAGAGTCCCATGATGCTGGGAAATCCCCAGATGGCACTATAACCTTTGGACTCCAGTGGAAAGTGCACAATCATTACACTGCTATGGTCTGGAAGTCTCCTGCTATCTCTTAAGGTATTGTACGCAAGTGTTCATTGTAAAGGTACAGAATGGATTCCAACAGGCCTCCAGCAGTCTCAAGAATTGAGGGAGCCACCTCAGTACTCTCCATCCCCTCACAGGTAACTCAGACATGAGGATTGAGACCAAAGCACATAAACACGCTTTTCAAAAATGTACAAATTGTACCTGCCATACGTTTTTCTTATAACTGTGTGATCTATAATCAAGTCTTGACATATTAAACCAAAAAATTGCAAAGAACTAGTGAGAAAAAAGTGTGTACAGGTGTTTCCAGTGACAGGCCCCAAGATCAACAGGAATTGTGCCTATGTATGGAAACAGGAAATGCATTAAGCATCTGGATGTGCAATCTGCTTTTTATAACTGCACACAGAATGCTACACATTGTGAAGAGGCAGCACAGAGCACTATTAGTTTGTCTTTTGCAGTACAGGTTAAACCTCTCTTGTTGTGGTCCGGCAGGATCACAGATGTTGCTAGACCAGAGAGCCCCAGCGCAGAGCCTGAGAACACATGGGAGCGGAGCCGGTTTGGTTGGTGGCATCCTGCAGGGGCAGTGACCTTGGGGTAGAGTGCCCTGGGAGCAGCTGCCACCAAAGCAAAGAGATCTGGGGAACCCCAGGAGCAGCTGCCATTGCGCGTAGAGCTGGGGACAAGGAGCAGAGCCTGGCGAGCAGTCTGGGGGCAGCAGACACAGGCAGGTGGGCCAGAGAAGGTCAGGTCTCCAGGCTTTCCCAGGTCAGCTGCCAGGAGGAGAGCCCTGGGAGAGCCTGGATGCCTCATCTCCCCTGGTCCAGCAAATTCCCTTGTTCGGAACCACTCTGGTCCCGAGGGTGCCAGACAAGGGAGGTTCAACCTATAGTGTGTTCCCATAAAACAAGGAATAATTAACAGAAAGGAGAAACAAGATTAACATATAGTTTTAGCTAGTTTACTCTAGAATACTAGATATTTATTGAACAGCTATGTCAAAATATTTCTTGGACTATGGGATAAGAATAGGTTTTCAAATATAGCAGTTACTGATCCCAGTCTTTGCAGAGAACTTTAGATATCTAAATTGCTTCTGTCATATGATTCCAGATTATGATAAATCCTGGACAAATGCCATTTAATATATTAAACAGTAGAAGAGAAGAATAAATGAGAAAGGAGAATAACCATGAGAAAAGTTTAAAGTACTAGTGAACATTCTCGCAGGCATCATTAACAATGGTGTATCTACAATAGAACATCTACATACTTTCTCTATATAACACAGATAAAAATAGTTCAGTTACTTGCCTTCAGAGCTGAATTATCTGTTCCACGTACCCTGGGAACAACCTATCTTCTGTAATTAGTTTATCCACTGATTCAAAAAACCCAAAGCATTCCCAACAGTTGCCAGCAAGTCATTTTAAATTCAGTATGTTGCAATTTTTAAAAAGCCATTTAAAACCTCAAAAAAAAATATTCTCCCTTTATATTAGGAAGGAAATCAGGAATACAAATAAACTGTTTAGAAAAAAAAAATACTACCGGCAGTACCTAATAATAGAACTGCAGAATATATCCTGGTTGAAAAAACATTTTTTATTTTTTTTTAAAGATCCACTTGACAGATGTGCAATACACTAGAACTTACCAAAACAGAATTCTGCCTTTGGCCTTAGCTTAGTTGCATCGCTAACCTAATAAGAAAATTGACATATATAATACATACTGTAAGTATCACACATAATGTAATATATACATTAAATACCTTCACACATTAAACACACATTCAGTTTAAAATTAAAAACTCAACATTGAAAGGAAAGAAAAAACACATACTTTTGTTGCTTAAATTTAAAGACGAATCTCATTTAGGGATGGTTAAAAAGTTAACCAATTGAACGTAATGCTTAACCGGTTACTTGTGATCCCAGCCTGCCCCAGTCACGCCGTGGCCACATAAAGGGAATGAGGGAGCTGCTTTGGACAGGGAACAGCCCTCCCATCAGTTAATTGGGTACTCCGATAAGCATGGCAGTAGGAAGCATGCTTACCAAGTACAGTAAACTTCCGATAATCCAGCACCTTTAGAACCCAGGGGGTGCCAGATTATCAGATATGCCAGACTTTCGGAAGAGGGGGCTGGGAGGGGTCTGCGGTGTGGTGGAATGAGGGAGCTGCTTTGGACAGGGAACAGCCCTCCCATCAGTTAATTGGGTACTCCGATAAGCATGGCAGTAGGAAGCATGCTTACCAAGTACAGTAAACTTCCGATAATCCAGCACCTTTAGAACCCAGGGGGTGCCAGATTATCAGATATGCCAGACTTTCGGAAGAGGGGGCTGGGAGGGGTCTGCGGTGTGGTGGGGGGGGGTGCCACCCCAGAT